ACTAGAGGGATTCAAAGGCATTTTTGAGCAGGTAGAAGAATCAGCAAACATGAAAATAGGACAATGGATATGACTGAGCCTGAGGTGCATAAAGAAAAAAAAATTGAAGAAAAGTGAACAGAGTATAAAGGACCTGTGATTTACCATCAGGCAGACCAACATATAGATAGTGGGAGTCCCAGAAATAGAGAGAGACAAAAGGGCAGAAAGAATACTTGAAGAAATAATGCTCCCGAACTCCCCAAATTTGATGAAAGACATGAACATAAACATCCAAGAAGCTCCAAGACCCAAGTAGGGTGACTTCAAAGAGGTGCACACTGAGACACATTATAATCAGAGATTCTTGAAAGCAGCAAGAAAGAAGCACTCATCAGAAAATTTGGAGACCAGAAGACAGCGGGCTGATGTATTCAAAGTGCTAAAAGAAAAAAAAAACCTGTCAACCAAGAATATATTTGGCAAAATTCCTTCAAAAGTGAGGGAGAAATTAGGACATTCCTAGATAAAAAAATGCTGAAGGAGTTCATGACCACTAGACTTATCTTGCAAGAAATGCTGTATGGAATCCTGCATATTGAAATGAATGAACACTAGATGGCAACTTGAAGCCATATGGGGAAATAAAGGTCTCAACAGAGGTAAATACATGGGCAATTATAAAACCTATTGCTATTGTTGCAATGATTTGTAACTCCACTTTTTTCTACGTTATTTAAGAGTTGAATATACTTTTTTTTGTTTTGTTTTGTTTTTTATTATGTTGTTAATCACCATACATTACATCATTAGTTTTTGATGTAGTATTCCATGATTCATTGTTTGAGTATAACACCCAGTGCTCCATGCAGTACGTGCCCTTCTTAATACCCATCACCAGGCTAACCCATCCCCCTACCCCATTGCCTTCTAAAACTATACTTTTAAAAATTATTAACTTATGTTTTAAAAACACAGTGTATAAAGATATAATGCTGTGACATCAACAACTGAAAGGAGTAGGGATGGAGATGTAAAGGAGAAGAGTATTGTATGTTATTGAAGTTAAGCTGGCATAAATCCAAGTTAGAGTGTTATAACTTTAGAATATTAAATGTAATCCCTATGGTAACTACAAAAAAATGATGCAGAAGTGAGGAAGGAATTGAAACATTTCATTATAAAATATCAACCAAACACAAAAGAAGATAGTAATGCAGGAAATGAGGCACAAAGAAAGCTATAAAGCATATAGAAAGCAAGTAGCAAAATAACACAAGTAAGTCCCTTATCAACCAGCCTTAAGAAAAACTCTGACACATGCTACAACACGGATGAAACTTGGGGACATTATACTAAGTGAAATAAGCCGGTCATAAAAGGACAGACATTGTATGATTACTTTGTTCATTTCTTTATGCGTTTATTGATGTTACCAACTCCATACACCGTAAGCTCTATAAGAGTGGGATATTTCTGTTTTCCTGACAGCTTTTTCTGTACCACATAGAACACAATGGCATATGATAGGGATCAAGAAAATTATTTGCTGAATGAATAAATGAAAACAATTTTTGTTTTAAGTTGAGAGAGAGAGAGAGAGAGAGAGAGCATGTGCAAGCAAGCAGGGGAGGGGCAAAGGGAGATGGAGAGAGGGAATCTCAAGCAGACTCCATGCTGAGCGCAGAGCCCGACAAGGCTCCATCTCAGGACCCTGAGATCATGACCTGAGCTGAAACCAAGAATCAGATGCCCAACTGACGGAGCCATCCAGGAGCCCCATGAAAACAAAATTTGATTTTGTTTTCAAAATGTACTATCTCTCAATTTCATCCAAAACTTAAATACCCAATGACTGATTTGTTAGCTTGTTCTGCTATTCTTGGGTTAAGGGGTTAAAAAAAAAAGTGTTTTATATCAAAGCACATATTTTACCAAATCCCATATATTTTTATATCCAAATCTCTCGTTTATACTCCCAGCCTCCATATAACATTTCTAATCAACTACCTCCTCTTCCAATTTATTATTTATGAACCTATAAAATACTTGAAAGAAAAATACAAAAAGCATCCATATACTCTTCATCTAGACTCAATACTTTTTAACATCTTGCCACATTTGCAATCTCTCCCTTTCTCCACACACACACACACACACACACACACACACGCCTCTAAATAACTTATTACAGCAAAAACTATAAAATGGTAGTTTTCTTTTTCTATCATTCCTTCCGTATTTATTATCTAGCACTAGTTGCAATCAACAACTTCTTGACACTGGATCATATGAAGGGAGATTTGTATTAACAGCGAAGTAGAGTCAGAAAAATATTTTAGTGGTCTTGATATACTTTTGAATCAACCCCATTAGTATAGTTCCCAAATACAGAAAGTGTGTGGAGCTCAAAAGCTCTGAATACTGGAATTTACCACTATCAGAAAAAAAGAAATTCTGAAATATTCATTTTTCCTCTTTCAGTGCAAGTGTAAAAGTGTCCCTGTATTATTCTGTTATTATCATTGGACCATCTAATCCACAGACATTTTAAGCTATTTTGCTATTAACATTAAAACAAAAAGGAAATAAATTGATGATATGTGTTTGAGATATGAGAAACATTTTGAAATTGCAAGAAAGCTAATTTTAAATGTGTATAACATTTTCAAATGGACCCAGAGAATTGGAGAGGAAAATTCAGAGTCAACATTTCATTACTGACACTAATTCTGTGAGGCACTAATGCATTATTGCCATGATACAGTTCAATTGCTCCCAACATAATTTCTTAAGTTTAACTATAGTAAATGGAATTTTTCTGCCAGCAAGTTTGATTAACTAGTTAATTTTTACACAGGTTAGTATTAGAACTACTTTGATGGAGGAGGTTTTCTGGAAGAGGAGTCAGGAAGAGTCAATCTGGAATTTGAATTCTCTACATGTAATCTACAAGAATAGCAGAGAAATTACTTATGTTCAGGGTTTTAATATTGATTTGCCACTACAAATTAAGTGAACTTGAATTGCTTAACTAGTGAGACAATATTTAGTTCTAAAATGTATTCATTCGTTTATTCATCAGACATTAGCAGAGTTCCTCTCCATACCAGCTACATGCCAGAGACTGGGAATCCCTGGGTGAACACCAGAGTTCCTGCCATCGACTGTCCTCAGTCTCCTCCGGCTCTAAGGAAGTATCTCTCTAAGGAAGCAGGTGGAGGTAAGTGTAGAAAAGGATAAAAGGGGGACAGAAAAAGAATACTAAAGTGTCAACAAAGAGTCAAGGCAAATATGAGGATTAACAGAAAATGAAGATGGACCTCAGAGGTGAGAAGACTTGAACTATGAGATGTAAGTAGGGCTTGCCACAGACAGCTCTTTACTCTGAGCATTATGCAGACCCTTGATGGAGAAGTCAGGTGAACTGAAATCCAAACGCAGGTTGACTTGCCAAACCTCATGCTCAGGGAGGTGGGGGGAGGGCTTGATCTGCCCCTAAAAACAGGCAACTTTTTCTAATTCATAAAAAGACACTACATAGGCTATCTATGTCTTTAGATCCAAAGTTGTGCCTTTAAAACTAAAAATATTAAAGAGTGACAGTTGGTGGTGTTGATAGTCTGTACTCAATCAAGGGTCTTCTTAGTAATTTTCTCACATGTACAGGATTCAAGAGTATATTTTCAAGACTTCTAAGTGTACATCTTGGGCTTATAATAAGCTGTGGCGATAGATTTCTTAACATGAAGCTTAAGTTCTTCATCTAATTTAAGAGTATATTTTAAGAATATTTGAGATGTAATATGTTAAAACAAAATACTCATGTCTTGTTTACCTTTGTATTATAACATTTTAAGAATCATCTTGTTGTTATTACTATTGTTATATGACTTGAGAAAAATACCAAGTTTCAGTGTAAACCATGGTCATGTATTATTTGAACAAGATTGTTTTCATTTACATTGCTTCAAATCTTAAAATTTGTGGTTCTATATAAAACAAGAGGAAGTGGCCTAATCTTTTTAAATATAGAATGTTGACGTGGAGTTTAAAGTCCATTTTTATCCAATTTCGATTTCCTCTGAAACACCTGGAAGCATTCCTCATGCTTAAAAAAATAGCTTATGCACTCATGCTCTTAAAAATTGTACCATGAGCCTAAAACACAAAACAAAACATTGTGTGGCTGTGTATTTTATTGAACCTAGAATCTAATAGCTTTTTGGCAAGCCAGTCTAAGACGTAGTATTTTTGATTCCTTACATGTCAAAAATTATTAATACTTCACTGTGCAAAGCCTTGTGGAATTAAGCAGATAACAGAAAAGATACTGTTTCTGCCTTCAAAGGTATAAGGTTATTTTAGTATTGAAATATTTCTTTTCAGAGCACTGATAGCAGCAGCAATATGGGTTGAATATGGGCAAAAATGTGTAGGTGCTATCTCCTGTTTTGATCTCTTTGAGGCACCCAATTGCTCTCCTGGTCTCTCAGAGTTCCTTGTGCCTCACCTCTGGAAATTCTTCCCTTTCCAATCTCTTCTTTTATTATGTCCATATCAACATTACTTGCTTGTGATCTATTTTCTTAGGGATTAGTTCCCACAGTGATGGCTAGCTAATCTGAAAAACTAATCCATGCTAAGGTATGTTCTAGTTTTATCCCTTTGAGTAACATACTTAGGTTTTACTCTCTTTTTAGAGATAATACCTTAATGCATAAAAGTGACTCTATGGTGGGGATTTCTATATGCATGATGCGTCATTTGGTGTCCCTCAAATAAATCATTTAAGGAGCTGCCAACATTGTTTTCCTGTCCTGAGGGTGGAGGATAAAAAAAATGGGCTAAATCTTTTTTTTTTTTTAAAGATTTTATTTATTTGAGCGAGAGAGAAAAAGAGAAACAGAAAGAGAGCATGAGTGTGGGGGGGAGGGGCAGAGGGAGAGGGAGAAGCAAACTTCCTGCTGAGCAGGGAGCCTGACATGGGGCTCCATCCCAGGACCCTGAGATCATGACCTGAGCTGAAGGCAGCTGCTTAACCAACTGAGCCACCCAGGCACCCCAAAAATGGGCTAAGTCTTTGCATTGCTTGGAAGAGTTCCTAATTACATGCTTACCAAAACCCATGAGGGGCAGGTGGTTTCTTCCCTACCTTGTAGGATCCTCTGTTTCAATAAGCTCAGCCCAGTTTTCCACAATTCCTATTGGAAGAAAATATGTTTCTCAGAATAAGGGTGCAAGTGGCATTCTGGTCAGGACAATTCTTTGTATTATAGAATGGTATATTGTATGTGGCAAGCAATTTTAGCATCCCTGATCCCAACCCACTAGCATCTCCCCTGCTACCCCACCTGCCCAGTCACTGTGACAACCAACATGCCTCCCACACATTTCCAAATGTGTGGAATAACACTGGTGATGACTATTAGCCAATCCTTTTAGAGCCAGTTAGAACCACCTCTACACAAAGCACAACATACTCTATTAGCCACACCCTCACAGGAGGTGAGTAGCCTTGAACCTCTAGTGACCAAATCTCTGTTCAGGAATACAGTGTATGAATGGGAAAAGGCAGACGTAAACTTTCCCCTCAGCATCCTCAAACTAATTCCAGTCAGCAGTCTTACCATAAGTCAGGAATTCAGACTAAAGATGGGAAATTTTTCGGAAAGTAAAGGCTTTCTTCAGATGGCAGCTTAATAAGGAATCACTTGGTGGTTTGACATTGATCTTTATAATATTATGACAGTATCCTGAAAGAAACTATTCCCTTTGGGGGTAACATAACTTCAGAATTTCATCTATTTTTGGAGTCACATTTGGTCTCATTCAAAAGATCCTTTTTTAAAGAATCAGTACATAAGGAAAAATGAGAACAGAAGTCCCATGTCTCAAATGCCATGGTAACACACTAAAATATTGATTTTTTAACAATTGCTCACTTGACACAATTTCCAGTAAGTCAATTTGTATTAATTTTATTAAATTTTCATGGCCTTAGGATTAAAGGGTTTAAAGAGATAGGTAAGAATAAAAACTAGATAACATCATAGCAAAACAGATTTCTAGTTTATTGTAAGTAGATCAAAGTTTCAGGGGCTATAAAGAGTTTCATCAGGGGAGTAAAGTTCTTTTGTTTTCTTTTAGATAAGACATACATATGAAAGGCTCATAAAAGTGCTGTTTTATTAAATAATGCTCAAAGAACATGACTGACAAGAAAATTATGTGAAAATAATTTTTAAAACAATTTATTTAAAAGAAAATTATGTGGGAAATAAATTGTGAAACAATTTGTTTAAAAGTCTGTGGTAACTTTAAGAGGATGGAAGGTAGGGAACATGACTTTTTTTAAAGAATTTATTTATTTATTTGTCAGAGAGAGAGTGAGCACAAGCAGGGGGAGCAGCAGACAGAGGGAGAAGCAGGCTCCCTGCTGAGCAAGCCAGATGCAGGACTTGATCCCAGGACCCTGAGACCATGACCTGAGGCGAAGGCAGATGCTTAACTAACCGAGCCACCCAGGTGTCCATGGGAACATGACTTTTGAAAATATGAATATGTTCTTGCAGTATTAATGGTTATCCCCAAAGTAAGGGTTAAGATGGGCTTCTATTTTAAATATTGAACATTTGGTACAAAATGATGCTGACTTGGTGTTATATAGGTGGTTAAGTTATTGGTTACATTGATAGGAAAGCCGATTATATTTCTTCCCTAATGGTCTAAGTGTTGGTTAGATGTCAGTTGCAGAAAATGGTCACTCTGCTTCAAGTTCCAGGAATACAGGGGCCATGTTAACACTGCTCTATCTCCAATGCCTGGGCAGAGTGCCTAGCACATAGAAATCCCTCAAAGGAGTGGATGAGTTGAAAAACATTCACTCCTTTTTTCTAATGTAACAGAAACACCCTAGATGATTCTCTCCCTGAGTCATTCTCAATACAACCTCTGACTGCTAATATTAACTGTCATCTGTATGCATTTATTGTGTGCCCAGCAATGATGACCATTATTTCATTTAATTATTAAATCGATTTCATGGCATAAGCATTATTGTCAACATTTTCAGATAAAGGAGCAGTAATTTGCTCAGGATTATATGGCACCAAAATGCAAATGCAGGCCTCCAAGACCTGGGTCTATTTATTGAGTCCCTGATGTGAGTGAGGCACTGTGGTAGGAGATAGATTTCAGAAGATAAGCCTCTGTCCTCTGGTGAGAAAGAGGGTCATGTAAACAAGTTATTCCATTCACTATTAAAAGGGCTAAAATAGAGAAAGGTATAAGGCAGTAACTAGTAAAATTTAAGGAAAAAGTAATTACCTGAATTTAAAGATGTTGCTAATCATATAATGATAGAATGACAGGATTTATATGTTGGCTTTCCGATTCCAGGAGGCAAGCAAGTTATGTAAGATGAGTGAAAATATCACATCTGGATGTCAAATAATTCTGTGCCCAGGTCCTACTTCTCTTCAGGCAGCCCTGCACAGTGGGTGAGCCCCTGTGTGTCGAACAGTGCTGTGTTACCTATCCAATGCTTACTTCAAACGCCCCAGGGCAATTCTTCCAGCCCACACCACTTGCATCAACATGAAAAGTATCTCCCTGTGAGAGTCACCGAAAGGGGTGCCTCACACGTGAGACAAACCAAGTCCTTCTTCTCCTTCTTGCCAATGTCCACTGCAGGTGAAGCTTCCTTAAGGAACCTGCTGCCATCTCTGCTAAGCACTATTAAGCAGTCCATGACCCACTCTTAATTCTGACTTTACCCAGCAAAACCACGGTAGGTGGGAGGAAGCCGCCTCTACAGTCCACTGTCCTCCAAGGCCCCACTGCTAGTACCCACTGTCTCTCACAGTAAAATTTCTTCCCCTCTTTATCACCTTTAAGCAAAAACTTATCTCAACAGAATAAGAAGCAGCAGTTTTCTGTGCATTAAACAGCATAGGGAATGCTGTTTAAATACTTCCAAGAAAAATGTTTTGTTTCCCTACTACTGAAATACAGGTAAACACACATACACGCACACTCACACAGGCAACTTGGAGATAGATATCTAGCCCAAAGCTACACTCTCGGCCATTTCTCTTACCAAGCTGGAACGCTTAATACCCTGTTCAGATTAAGGGTACTTGCCTTATATTTGTGTAGTTAAAAGAAACCACTCTGGGGTTTTTCCCCCTAAAAAGAAGGAACAATGTATTAAATATGAATGAATATTTACTTGTACAGACCAAAAAACACACAAAATTTCACAAATTTAAAGTTCAATCTCAGCCAAGACACCCTATTACATATAGGTGAAGAAATTGAGAATCAAGAAGACTATTTGGTGGTTAAAAACATACAGGTAATAGCAGAGCTAGGTTTAGAATTTAGGTTTTTCAATTCCCAGTCCAGTGCTCTTTCTTTGGGGAGGGAGGGAGGAGGAGGTTAAGAGAGGTGTAGTTTGATACTTTTTCCTCTCTGGGAGAAAGAAGAATGGATTTCTCTGTTCTCCCTCAGCTAGTTTTTGGTCAGTTTTTGGTCATCTGCTAGGTATGTGTCATTTCTGGCTCTTGCATTTTCAACAGAGCTGACTCTTGTGTACTGAGCTCTGAGCTCCGTGGTTTTATGGAATGCTCAACATGAGCCTCCTCCAAAGGGAGACTTGTGCAGCACTCCTCATTCTAAAAATATGCTGTTTTGGTTGAAATGGTTAAATTACTAAGGCTTATTTTATTATGTCTTGAATTGTGCCCACATTCTTTTCACTGTTTTCCTTTTCTAATTCTTGTCTTATAATCTACCTCTCCACCTTTATGTTTTTATCTTTTGAACAAGCTGATCATGATATGCTCCACATTGCCTAGAATCAGTTACTTATGTACCCTAATAAATTCGTTTCTCTGATTGTCATTAATGTTCAAACATTTTCCCTTAGTCTGGTTGCCTCGATATACTGCCAGGGGGCCTGGAACATATTTCACCAGGACCAGGTGTAGTATTAATATTTCTGTTCTGACGCCTTCTCCCTGGTCCAAGTAATAGCTCCTTTTCTTCATCTTCAACAGAAAGTAAAAACCTATGCATCTGCCACATTCATAAAGCCTTTGGCTTCTCTAAGTGTGATGTGGAAAAAAAAACGTTGGGGGTGAGTTTGTAGCAGCTGTTTTACCACATTCCTGTGAAAATGCCTGCAGGCACAAGCCATAAAAAGACCTTCGGCCCCAGTAAATCTGCCTTGGCTGATCTCTGTTAGAATGCAGGGTCCCAGACTCTACTATGCATAAGAAACACCTGCAGGTGCAGATTGCTGGAATGTGCCCCCAGACCTTAGGATTCTGTCCATCTAGGGTAGGGCCCAAAGACCCTTTAGCAATATCCTGGTGATTCCAATGCAGGCTGTCTGCAGAACATTCTTTGGGTTTTAGAATTAGATCCATTTCTTTCTTTCCTTTTTTTTTTTTAAGATTTTATTAATTTATTTGACTGAGAGAGAGAGAATGAGAGAGGGAGCACAAGCAGGCGAAGTGGCAGAGGGAGAAGCAGGCCTCCCGCTGAGCAGGGAGCCCGATGTGGGGCTCAATCCCAGGACCCTGGGATCATGACCTGAGCTGAAGGCAGACACTTAATGACTGAGCCACCCAGGTGCCCCGAATTCAGTCCATTTCTTTAAAAAATCTTTTTCTTAAAATTGTAGCTGGATGGCAAGTTTTGAGAAATGGTATATAGAGGGGATTAACAAACAGATAGGGGAGCAGGCCAGATTTCTGAAGTCCCTTCCTTCTGACCTCTGATTCTATGATTCTGCATTTTTTTGGGATTATTTATAATACATCTGAATCCATGGAATTTAGGCTCAGTACAGAGGGATTTCTTGGCATCTTTTTCTCCCTACTGAAGATCCTGCAAAATGAAGGGTTTTGTTAAAATGTAGAAAATATGTGTGTAGAAGCTTTGGTAACTTTCTGGAGTTATTCTTTGCTAACTAAATAAAACCACAGTCCATAGTCTATGGTCTCTCCCCATTCATACCTTCTGGGCACAGTTTGCTTGGTTTTACAAGATTAGGACTGAAGTGGTTTAGTTTCTGTAAATAGGAGCAAAAGAGGAATGTGCCCTGAGAATTGAGGTAAGCCTTAGAACCTGAAGGGGAGGGCTTGGAACATCGGGACACAGCAGGGCTCACTTATGGGTGGAGCAGGCAGACCTT